GCTTGATTCTTCTCATTCGACATGTATGATCGTTTGGTTTACTTGGAATTATTCGATTGGTGACATTTATTGAAAATACCGGCATGCCGGCCATTTAGTATTTTGAAAAACTTGCTATATAGCCACAGCGTTAAATCGGATGTTTTTAACGGAAATATTGTTGAGTATGTGTGTATTATTACTTGCATTGTGCAATACGTCCCAGTAGTTGTATTTTGTTTGTTATTACGTTGTTATGACAATTTTCTCTGTTCGTGGAAACCTTCATTAAAAAAGCCTTCTCCCCTGATGTAGATTTTTCGTTATTACGGCCAGGTACTTTCCAAGTTATTACGTTGTTTCAATAATTTTCTGTGCTCCACCTTTAATTAACCAAATCTTCCCCGCTAACATAGATTTTTCCTTATTACGTCATTATGAGAATATTCTACTCGCCGAAAGTTTTCATTATTATATTATTACAGGTAGCTTCTTTAGTAGTGGAAATATTTCGTATTATGTTATTACAGGCAAATTTTCAAACCCATCGCGTAGATTATAGGTTGTTACGTTATTACGGGTACTTTTGTACCCGCTGAAAGTTTTCGTTATTACATTATTATAGGCAACTACTTCAGTTGTGGAAACTTTTCCTATTATGTTATTATGGGCAAATTTTCCAACCCTCGCGTAGAGTTTTGGTTATTACGTTATTACGGGTACTTTTATACTTGCAGAAAGTTTTAGTTATTCCATTATTACAGGCAACTTCTTTGGTCGTGGGAATTTTTCGTTATTACGTTATGGGTACTTTTCTACTATCCGAAATTTTGCTGGTAAAAAACGAAGAAAGGATAAAACAAGGACGTTAAGGGAAAGGAGAAAATAAGGAAGTCATCAAACAAAAGAAGAAAGTAAAAAACTATAACGCTGTTACGAAGTAATAAGGAAAAAAGAAGGAAAAACAAAACCTATAATGCGCACCATATGATAGAGCCCAGTTGATAACTGAATTTTATTGTATTAATGACATACCAAAAACTATTTCAGTCTTTTTTAGTTTTATTTCTAAGCTAAACATGACTTTTTAAGTTTTGTCATCTTACTCTAAATTTTTTTTTAATACTGTTCATTTTTCATTTCAAAATGTAGTTGTAAGTTTTTTATGCATTTAAACATCTGCAATTCTCAACTTAATCTAAAAGAGCTCTGGTTATGATTGTTGAGTACACAAATGTGTTGAAATCAATTAAACCCAAATTCACTTTCTAGTAGTTAATTGTTATATTTAAAATTTGTATATGTCTGTTTCCTCAGAATCAGACATTAGATGTAGTATCAGTCATGGAATGTTATATGATTTTGCCTTTTAATCTCATTCTTATGGTACAAACTAACCAAAGGTAAATTTCTGGAAAGACTGAACTTCCAGAGGCTCATTAACATGGATAGTATGCAATAGTGAAATTTTGTCTCAGAACTTTGTAATGGGGCTCCCACGTGCACTATGGGGCAGAGCCCCATACCCATGGAATATGGTCAACCTCTTTTCATTTGGTTGTCATGTGACTGACCGAGTATACGTACATGCCTTCAGATTGCACGGATAGGGTAGGGGAGACTATCGAAATGAAGGGAGGGGTGTCTCAGGCGAGTCTTGGCAAATGCACATCTTTTATGTTGTCATCAAATTATATTACGAACTTGGGAGCTCCGCTTTTAGGCTTGGCTAAATCTATATATTATTTTTATTTCTTTTGTCACTAGTGCAATTTTCTGTAACATTCATAAGATTTTGGAACTGGTTTAGTTTTGAGGATGATTGATCTAGCATATTATTGTGGCACTAAGGGGCAAAAAGTGGAATACTGTATATGGCAAAGTGTCTTTTTCATTACCATAGCGGTCTTTGATATTTGCAGATTAAAAGTGGTTTCAGCGAGGGATTGAGTGTTGCACTGGATGACTACAGACAGAATGGGTTTAAAAAAGCTTGGGATGGACTGCAGTCAAAAGTGAGTTAACAACTTGTACAGCTTTTCATTTGACAAAAGTATTTACAATGCACTAAACCCAAATATTATTGCATGACATCTGTACCAAACATCTTAAACAGTAACCAGAAAGACATCGAAAGGACAGGTGTGAACTGACTTTCTCACACTTTAATAAAACTCCTTGATTGATCACTAAATAATAAGTCAAGAGCAATTTTCCATTGTCTATAAACTTATTGATCATCAAAATGATGTCAACAATGTTCAAACTTAAGTGAAACTTTGAGGTACAGGTGAGTGGTTTCACTGCAATGTTTTAGACATTTTTTAGATTTCTATGGCAGTTACAGTGGTAGGCACCAAAGTTTTTGGGAAATCATTTGTGAGTGACATAATTGATTGTTGCTTTGTGGTTTGTGCTGTTGTTGTTAATTATTTGTTAGGGAATGACTTCTACAATGAAGTTTGAAATAAATGGCAACAGACTCTGGTTACCATGAATTGTTTTTATCTTCCACTTACTGGTAATTTTAATTTTTGGGCCTCTTTCAACCTTGTGAACCAAGTAATGGCTTTCTTCTGCTGAAGGGTTCCCTCAGCTTTTCCTTCCACTAGTTGCTTTTAAAAAATTTGTCCAACTACATAGCAATCTTAAAATTGGGAAATTGCTCTTTGTCCATATTTCAGTAGTTTGCAATTATTTTTATAAAACTTTTTCTCCAACATGGCCAGGATTTTCAAGTGTTGCACTACATGTTATGTCATTTTCATTGTCAATAACCTTTTTGACAATGCTTCTCAACTAATGCCTGTGTGAGAATTTCTCTAGTTATTGTAAAACATGGTATTGATGACTATGTAGTCTCTACAAAAACTGATAAGTTTGAAATAACAAACAAAATAATTAACTAAAACTATTATTAAACACATATCACCCAGTGAGTGACCTTCAAGAAATGTAGCAGGGTTCTTGGGAAGTTTTTTCATAGGAGGGAAAAAATTAAAAAATAGCAGGAAACTTTCTTACCTTCCCCCCATGCTGGGGGTCTGCAGGCTGTAAAGGCCCCCACTGGAGTCTAGGGGAGGTTTTCCTCGCTTGGATGCTATGTTCTCAACCGTGACATTTCTCAATAAATGCTGGGCCTTTTCGTTCAGCCACAAGAAGAATGGAAAGAAAACAAGTCATGGCAGAAGGAATTTCGTGTGGTGACTGTGAAGAATGAATTTGGTAAAAAAAAAAAAAAAAAAAAAGCAGGATTTCTTCAACATATGAGGTATTTTCAAACCAGTAGCATGTGATAGATATCTTCACAGCATTGTTTGGAAGGAGAAAAGTAATATTTTTTCAAAAGATTGAAAAAATTGTTGGATAACTTCAGTAAATATTTCAGTCCTGGGTTTCAGTGAAATAGCTGGTAACATTTACTTGAACAGGCTGTAAAAATAACCAGTTACCAGCTCTTAACAAGAACCCTGATGTAGAGAAACTCTCTTAAACAGTCATTAGACATCGACCTGTTAAACTGAATTGTTGTTGGTATACATCAAAACATTATTTTAGTATACATCAAAACATTATGTTGGTATAGTCATCAAAACATTATACTTCTTGGGTATACATCTAAAGATTATACTTCTTGGGTATACATCAAAACATTATACTTCTTGGGTATACATCAAAACATTATTTTTCTTTTGGTTCCTCTGCAAGGAAGCCATATCAGGTATCATGTCAAGTATAGTACTTACAAGCAATCACTCACCATAAAGTACTTCTTCTAATACAGACACAAAACTTTTTCATTCTTAGCAAGGAGAAGATGAAGCAACTATTAAGAGCACCAGGTGGGAGGTGGCACACAACAAAAAATGAATTTCCTTGATAAATTTTCTATAGATGCCTAATGATAGGACTAGAAACATGCTGGGTTCTGTTTGCTTAAACACATCTTTTAAACCTGAAAAAAATTGAAGCTGATAACAATTCTGGTATCTCAAATACAGCTGAAATAACTATGCCCCACACCTTTCTGAAAACTCTGATCATTAGCATTACAGTAAAACAACTTTTTTTACCATACAACCCCCTCTTACCAAGGGGTTGACCAATTTTTTGGACTTATTTAAATCCCATTAGATTTTGTTCTCCAGTTTGGCTTCAAGAATCACCAAAACTTGTGTACTGATAATTATTTATTTGGTGCACTTTTTCAAGCAACAGTTTGCCTGTTAATGCATTGAATTAATTTTAGGTTCGGACTTTGAATAAAGGTTGAGCAACGACTCTTTAAAAATCATTAAAATCTGTGCGTTATTATGCATAAATTAAATTTTTCTGTCACACAACATGCATTCAGCAGCTGAGACAAAGGCAATGCCAGGTGTCCCTGAGAAAAGTTTGTTCCTTTACTGTAGAGAAAAACAAACAAGAGCAGCATTGATGGAAGGAGCCACTTTCATGGAGTTAAACTGAAAAGGATAGCAGGCAATGACATAAATAAGAAATTTTTTGCCATTAAAGAGGATGCCAACATGTCACCTATTATATATAGGAGCACCAAATATTGAGTATGATCTGAACACTGACAAGATTTATCCACCTGCACTATAAACATTTTTGACTCATTTCAAACCACGGAGTCTAAGTTGATCATGTATTTGATCTTCCCTCGATATGATTGTGTATATGCACAAGTTTCTACTGAATGAGTTGCAAACAAGGTTGATGCTGCTTTTGTTAATTACATTTCATTATTTACTTTATGGCAGCACTTTGACTCAAAATGTTTGCGCATGTGAAAAACAAAAAAAAGAACAAAGACGTCTACCACATTTTCACCTCTCTTTTCCTTTACCAGTCAGCAAAGGTCCTGGCATGTTGTGTAGATGAAAATCATTTTCCTTGACACTCTTCAAAATTTATATGGTAAGGCACTGAAAGGAAAGAACATGGCATCATTTTCCATGTTTTTGTTCAAAAAAAGTAAACCAGCTTTATTGGTGTGGTCTTTTCGATACCACTTGCACTAACAAAAGTAAGCAAATATTGGTGCCATGTAGGTGAATATTAAAAAAACAACAACAACAAACCAACAAAAGAAAAAGCCATGACAAAAAAAAAACAGTGCATCATCATTGAATGACTACTTAATAAAAAGAGAGCAAATAGAGCATTTCATTGTCTTTATAACAAGCTCGCACATAATGCAAGATTTGCCTTTTGGAGAGAGATCCATAACAATCAGTAATACAGAGACTATCAAGATACCAAACATTCCTCAAATGATGATCCTTGACAGGGTGATCAAAGAAGACCTGGTCTACTGAGATGAAATTTCTCTCAAGCCCTTGAGCTGCATTTTTCTTGGTTTCAAGTTCTTGCTGTTTGTTTTGCCTCAGTTTGACAATCACTTCAAGGACTAGACCTCAGTTCTACTGGGTCTCTGGCATTTGAAGACTAAGAGGACATTGCTTGGACTTGGAGATAAGGGAAAAGCATGGGCTAGATGAAAAACCCACAAAGTCCCCTAAGATCTGGAAAGCATTAACCTCAACAGTAATTACAAGGTGATTGCTCTTTGTTCAATTGTTTTTCAGAATTCTAACAGCTGTCCAGGAATACATTTTGAAGAAATTAGTTTTCCAGGGCACTTCCATTTGTGTGAACAAATGGACCATTTTACAAGGCAAATGGGTATAGTTTAGAGCCTGTCAGTCTATCCTGTCTAATATATAAGTGGTCCTGTATTTTTGTTTAGATAGTAATTATTGCTAGAAAAAAATTCAAAATTTACATCTTTTTCAGTTTTTTTTTTTTAGTTTTTATGATGCTAGTTTTGGTCATCTATCAATATTACATGTACACTTATAAATATTAGACTTCTTTGTAAAGCAATATGGCTGTGGTTGAGTCCTTAAGTTGACTTTGTTTTTTAGATGTCTTTTTGTTGGAGGTGCATGTATACCAGAGCAGATTGTATACCAGAGTAGATTGTTTTTCATGGAACAACCTGAAGAACCCTATATTTCAAGCTCAGTGTGGTCATCACCATGAAGACACCTGCGATTGCTGCCACCAACTGACGTTAACTCTTGATGAAATGTAATCAGCTCTAAGTTGCCTTGACAGATCAACTGCAACCTGAAGTCAAGGGGAAGCTTTCATTTACCATAAAGCAAGCTACAGCAAACATACATACCTGGAAGGCTCACACATTACACCACAAGGATTGACATACTCAAGTCTTAGGAAGAGTCCTCAGTGCTAGTAGTGCAGGAATGGGCAATGAAATAAATTATCTGCCAAAGAAGTACAGCAAAGGCCCAATTTATTGGGTGGGTAAACATGGCATTTCATGGCATGTACTGTAGGTGTGGCTTTCAGAAATGTTAGCAGAATTCTTGGAATGCTAACCTTCGTCCATGTCTCTGAGAGGTGCACCCAAGACAGTTGTGTGATCCTTGCAGTCGTGGCTGACATTGTTAAGCTGTCCAAGACCATCATGCTAGAGCTCAAGACAGTGGGTTATTGCCAAGGCAATGCTGGCTGTTATCACTGCGGGTCCACCATTGTCTGTACAAGCTTACTGGGAAACAAGCTGGAGGTAGCATTGAAAGGAATGGATTTTTCCAATCCCCAGGGTGGAAAGGGGGCTTGCGACTGCAAGGCAGCCTTGATCGTGCCCCGCATGCTTGAACTCAGGCAGGAATATGGAGACACCCGCAGGGATGGCAGAAGTTATTCTCTCTTCAGCTGGGATGGTATCTCTCAGTGTCACCCTTTGCAAGTTAGACATAAGAAACCTTAAATTGAAAAACTACAGTTGCTTTGTGAGGAATGCACATGCCAGCAGTGAGGAATTAGTTTGGTAGCTAATTCACATCCATACATTTAACTTAGTTTGATAAAAGCATTTCGTCCAGATGAAGTGCCACGTTGATGATTCTTCATGAAAGGACAATTTGAAAGATGTGGAAAGGCAAACAAGCAAGAATCAAAGACACACTATTGAGTCAAGAGATGTGATGTTTTGTTAAACATAATTATTTTTGTTCAGTTTTTGTTGTTGCATCCTTGTAAACCCTAAAGAATGGGTAAGCCAGTGGCCCACAACCTGTTGTCAGTAGGGACAGATTAGAATAGAACCAATGAAGATTCTGTTTCTTTAGTTAGATTTCTAAGTATCTTCCTCCCCAAATATTGCGTTGTCTTTCTGAAATGAACAAAGTGACCATTGCATGACCCAACTGCTTCATAACCTCGGATTACTTGTGTAAAATGCTCTCGAAGTCAGGAGTCAGGTTGTCATCTTTATCAAGGGATTTAAAGATGTTGCTCTTCAATACTGTAGATTGCTTTAGACCACAAAGATAGATTACAGGGGGAAAATTTGCACTTCTGTGTGCTAAGAGGAAAAAACGTGCTGACTTTGTTGACTTCTGGTTGACATGTTTTTCGTGTGAGAACCGCGATTTTTAGAGGCTTCTGTATCAACAGTGGCACAAAGCCAGAAACTAATTTTTACATCCAATTTCAGACCAGTTCTTATTCTTTTAAGGTTATCAATTTCAGGTGATACAATCCTTTACTGGGCACAAAATAGATGATTTAAAAACACTAAATTACAAATTATTGGAAAGTGAATTTTCGTTAATTTCATTGGCCTACCATGGCCACTTAATGTTATTCACAGGAGGAACATTGGATTCAAGTTACTTGAACACACCTCAACAATGTTGGTATTAGCCCAAAATGGAGTTTTCATGATGCAAATTTGAAAGGGACAATTTTTACTTGGAGGTATTAGTGGCATAGTTTTAAGATGCTTTTCAGGTCAAATGAGCTAGTGATAGCTTTTTCTGATTTTGGAGGTATTTTAAAAAAATTTTACAAGGAAAAAATCCTACCATGCTTCTTAACCTATTGACGTCCAGTGCGCCCGTATGCGCCCATGTGGACCCACACCCTTTCTACGCCTTGTGACGTCATCACTTTTAACCCTGGAGCACGACTTTGAGCATGTACTTGAACAGGATGAAAATATCTTACAAACGATACCAGAATGAGCGCAATTGAGTGAAGGGGATTGGAGAAATAGCCAGAAAACCATGTAACTTTGACCTGAAAATCTGCACGAAAATCTTGTTCCATTACCCACCTACCTTTCTGAGCATGTGGTTTGAAAATAATGAGTAGTTTCCTAAAAAATCTCTCCACCAAAATGAAGCCTACTAAATTTCCAGCAAGTGAGGAGAGGGGAAAAAAAGGGCAGGAGAAAGAGAGAAAAGTAAAAGTCGTAAGTGGGGCATTACTTTTCAACCCAGGCACAGCGGAGAGAAATGCTGACGAGAGCAACATAGTCAGAATTAATCTACCATTCAAAGATCAGGTTTCAACTAATTCTGTTCGGAGACAGCTGTGTGATCTTAGTAATAAGATTGGCCTCGTTTTGCAGCCAGTTTTTGTAAGCAAAAAATTAGAACAAGACCTAAAACCTAAAGAACCCAAGCCGTCAATTGTTAATCAGTGATGCATTGTTTATCATTTTGTATGTGATATGTGCGATGCAGATTATGTCGGCTATACGGCCCAACACCTTTTCCAACGTGTCGCTGAACACAAATATTCGGCAATTGGCAAGCATTTTCCTGAAGCGCATGGTAGGAGGGATCGTTTGAATGATAGTCATTTTAAGATTCTGAGAAAGTGTCAAAGCAAATTTGATTGTTTAGTGTTTGAAATGCTTTATATTAAGAAATTCAAATCTAATCTGAATGTGCAAATGGACTCCATACGTGCTAAGTTTTTTGTTTAACCCGCAAATTATTTTCTCTTACTGTTCGTTTTTAGTATTTATAGAACTTATTTTTATACATTCTTGACTTGATAATGACGTTATGTTAACATTAGCTTTCTATAGCTTTTTATCGTTTTTAAATTTTACAATGGTTTCAAGCAACGTTTTGTCGCAAGTTTTTATCATCAAATGTTATTCCAAGTCACTTCTTCTACATAAAATAGAGGGATGTTGATTTTTTGAGATGTACCACTTTTTTTTTTGTTTTGCTTGGTCTTAGTGGACATGCCCTCCTAAAATTGAAATAAACACATTTCTTCCTTGAAGAATGTGCTAAAGGACAATTAAAATCCTGTAGACTAAAGTTACAATGTGCCTACAGATAACTGGTCATAGGCACGTTATGTGTTCTTGTTTTTTCACATTTTTATACCAATACAAAGTGCATGCATGGTGTAATCATTTTCAGATTGAGATGCGGATCAATAGGATTGCAAAAACTGTGCATTGAGAACCATTCATTTTGTTGTTCTAGTCATGTGACACTTAGGGTGTCCCAGCCACATCATCGACTCTCTTGCATCCATATAATAAGTGGAATATAGTATATTCTAAAACAAGTGTCCAAAATTTGGTCTTTTTTTGAAAATGAAGGGGCTGTTCAGTTACATCTGGATGAATGTTTCTTATAGAAATTGCCTGAAACATTACTTGTGATGCCCTTTGAAAAAGTGGTATGCTTTATGAACTGTGTAAATTGTATCTCCACTGTTAAACAATAATTATAAAACTTCATTTTCTGTTGAGTCTTGGTATTTCAAGAATTATCTTAGCCTGTATACAGTAGCCTTTGCTGTGCTACTTTCATGCCTAACAGTAAAATGCATGGCGAAAGGCCATATATCTTGGGCCCACAGGGGCCAGCTGTTAAGAGGCCTTTTGGCTTTTGCTTCACAGCGGCCATGTTTTAGTATGTTGGAGGGCGACATCTGCTATAGGCCTGGGATGGAATTTACAAATTCAACATGGTGACCATATTGTGGAGACATTGAGAAGCGTAGTAAATGTTCAGTCACTCTGTGGTCTGCTGACAGGTTATTCATTTTGAAAACTAAAACCGACTACCAGTCAATATAAAACTCAGTTACCTCCTCAAAAAGTTGTTCTTTTATTTGCATTTACTTGACAAATTCATCTACCACACCAAGCACTTTGACAACTCCAACACTATAATCAGTGAGACCTGTGACAAGTGTTATGGGTTATGGGTTCGATTGAGAACCCTGTGAACACTGCTATAATTCCTTTTTTGTTAGACTTCAAATTATCCAAACAGATTGCCAAGTAATGGAAAAAGGAGGTGTGAGCCTGTTAAGTCAAAGGTTTCTGACTAGATTTCTGAGCAACAGTCAAAAAAGGGACATGATTTAAAGGTTATGCTTCTCCTAGGAATCTCAGAAGGCAGCCACTGTTATACATTCTTAATAATCCATGCAGATCAAACTTGTGTTGCTCCTGAAAGGTACCCATCACTAAAAGAGGGAATGAAAATAAATCAAGTACAAAGTCTGGTGCAGTCTGTGATGAATGAAAAGTAAGACTGAAAGTCTCAAACTGCTATGTTTTATTTCAGCTTGGATGTTGGGGTAATAAAAATTATTCAGACTGGTTCTACAAGGAATGGACTACAGATGAAACATACAACAATTCAGTGCCTGATTCTTGCTGCGTTAAAGATGAAGTCAGCTGTAACATTAATGTCACAAGCCACCCAGCCACAGTTTATTCAAAGGAGGTAATTCTATTCATAAGTAACAAGTGCTGAATATGTGCTAGTGCTTCCCATTAATGGTTGACAAAGTTTTTTTATTTATCCCTGTACACCCTAAAATTAGTATGCATATTATCCACACCATTCTGTAGACATTTCAAATGGTGTTGACAAGGAGAATTTGTGTAATAATCATAAGCTTTTTCAGTTGATTATTTCCTTTATCCTCGTGATCTTAAAGTTTGATTCTAGTACGTAGGTATTCATGCTTGCTCGCGAGAGGTTTAGTACTGTAGTACTGATGAAAGCTGTTAGTACGGTAGTACTGATGAATAAGCAAAAATCTACAGAAAAGCAGTCCTATAATGGGCAGCATATGATGTTGTTAGGGTGAAGTCTCATGTGAATTGCCTCTGGGAATCACAGTCTATTGACTTTACTTTGTTCCAGGGTGTGCTCTGAGTTGGCAAAGGTTTGCATCTTAGCAAGTTGGATATCCCTGCTCTGTTCCTCTATTCTCTTCTGTATAGGTCTGCCAGTTTTGCTGATGTAAACCTTTCCTGCAGACTATGCCATCCTGTTTAGCCGGGTGGATGGCATCCTTTGAGCATACTAGGTGTGATTGTAGTGTAGAGTCTGACTTGAAAACAGCATGTATGCATTGTTGTTGTAGACAGTGGCAAAGTTGTTTGGAGAGACCTTTGAAATAGGGTAGGATCTGAACTAGGTGGAAGGTTCAGTGCTGGTGGTCAGTAGTTTAGTTTTTGTCGACCTCTGTTTGACCTCTATTCATCAGTGTGTTGGCTTCCTGTATAAAAAATTATGCCAGTGGTTAGGTCAGGATCTCTTGTGACTGCAGTGTTCAGGAAGGCAAGTTTGTTGTTGCGCTCCATACCCATAGTGAATATTTTGCAACCCTCCCATAAATTTTCATATTGCAGATCGATAACAAATTTTGTTGACGTTTTTGTACTTTCTCGAGCAGCATGTGAGATCAGCTTTTTGTCGTCAATGTCACTGGACTCTTAGTTTTCTTCCATGTATTAAAAGTAATCAGTAACAAAGATGAAAAATTGAAACTCTTGAAATAATCATAGTACAAATAGTGACATAGACAGGGGTTATTGATAACTGTCTGGAGTGATTTTGCACCATGACGTAAAGTAGCCAGTAGAATTGCATTAAAATTAATGACTGGGTTATAACTAATGATATATAAGATATGGTGACATGTAAAATGTAGTTTGTTCTCTTATTTCTGCTTGAATGTAAAAATATTACATTTAACCTGTATTACAATGCATTACAGTTCTCTTACATACCAACAGGGATGTTATGATGCTGCAGTTAAATTCTTTGAGGACAAGTTGTTGATTATTGGAGGTGTTTCCCTAGGAATTGCATTTTTTCAGGTAACTATAGAGAAAAACATTTTCCAACATACTCCTGGTGGTGTTAAAACACAATATATGCATTGTTGGGCAGAAAACCAGAATTTGGTCTTGCTTGCCACATTCTTTGATATACCAGTTACTGAAACAATTTACTTAAACTAGTATATCATCTCATTCACTATACATCTAGAAATGAAACGGACAGGTATGAAACTTAAGTTAAACGGAGAGTCAACTAAATGGTTTCTAAGAGTCAAGGAAACAATGAATTTCAACTGTAACTGAGAAATGTCACCAGCTTATAATTATTCCAATGTAACTGCAGTAAGAGGCTTTTGATTTGTGATGTTTGTGATCATTGGGCAGCCTGTGTGATAGTTTTAAAGATGCTCAGTGTGGTCAGTGGAATCAATATCATGTAATATTAAACAAATTATCCTTTTTCTTTCCTTTTTTCATCAACAGTGATAAGGTCTGGGTCGCACTAGAGCCATTTCAAATATTTTCCAATTTTTGGCAAACCTATATTGGCAAAGTTTTTGTACTTTCCATATTTTGGCAAATATTCACTGATTGATTCACATTTCAATCACCAACCCAACTCACTCTATGAAGAAATGTATGAAATCTGGCACAAATTGCTACAAAGGAACAGATCCTTTTTCAGCTGTGTTTTGGTTGAGGCTTGCACTACTTGTGCTGGCTTCAAAACTTGCAACAGTATGAGAATTTCTTGTTCAAGCCATATGTTTCCTAAATTGCTGCCAGTATAATCAAACCCAGGTACCAGTCACAGACATTTGAATAAAAGAAGGGCTCAATTTTGTTTCCCTCAAAAGAAGAAGGGTCAAGAGGACAAGGAAATTCCTGCTATTGCACTCTAAACTAGACAAGTTAACTAAAATATTTTTTCCCCATGAAATTTTATCCAGACATAATCTTGCACATCATGACAGCTAAGTGGTTAAGAAACCCATGAATATTTCTTTGGCCAAAATTTGGAGGCCTCTGAGGCAGGACATCAAGTTATTTGATGATTGTTAAAAATTTGGCAAGTTTTTCACATTGGGTTAACAGATTTTCCACATAAACAAACAAAAAAAGCTGTAGTGTGACCTAGGCCTAACTTAAAGTTAGTAATTGGTGAAAAATTTTCACTTTTAAATATATTTAGGAAAAAACTCACCAGGGGAAAAAAACTACAGTTTACACACTTTCTTACACATTGATCTTCACTTGACACAATCTACCCATAGATTAATTTATCTTTTATCTTGGTTGTTTCTCCTTACTGGACAGCCTGAAAACATTTATAGGCTTCAGGAAAAACAAGGATTTTTCTGATGCAGAGGGATCGAAGTTGAAGAGAAATCACATTTCATTTTCATTATTACAATAAAGGTGGAACAAATGCCCTGTCTTAAAGCTGTTACTTTGTAGAAAGGGTGGCTGGGGGAGGATAACAAAATAATTTTGTTTTATGAACTGAGTTGATAATGTAGATTGGCTACTGAATATTGTTTCTTAGCTGATGTTTTGAGCATTAGCCCCTTGTCCTTCACTATGAATGGCAACTTAGAAACTCTTCACAGTGGCCAATTTACGTGTATCATGGCCTAAGGGTAGTGCACTGAGATATTATAGATTGGATTCATCAGCAATCTCTGGAATATGTTAGATTATATTATGTGACACTTTTTTAATTTTATTTTCAGCTTGTTGGTGTGGGATTGTCATGTTGTTTGGCAAGCAGTATCCAACATTCCAGTAAATATGAACTGGTTTAGTCAATTTCATTGTCCTCTGTAAATTCATATAAATGAGAAATCTGGGTTTCTAATTCTAAGGTTGATAAACTCTGAATTATGGTAGAAAAGTGCTCTTGTCAAATCTGAGGACATTAGATAAGCCCCCTTTGGGGTAGCTGCTTTTCGATTTCGCATCCTCTTTTATCAGGGCTGGACACTAACTTTTCAACTTACTAGCCAAGTGGCTAGTGACACCTTAGATGTTACAACAATTTCAGTTTGTTTACTAGCCAAACTGGCTAGTGGAAGTTGAAAACCACTAGCCGAAACTGAATTTATACTAGTCTGTGGCTAGTAGGCTACCATTGGTGTTGAGCTCTGTTTTATGGTGTCAATGTTGACAAACCTACAGAAATGAGTGTTGCTGTAGATTTTTTATTCTTATTAAATGTTGTTGCAGCAAAGAATTTGTTCTATGGTTTTTAACAACATGTATTTAGCATGCTGCTCTTCTTGTTCAAGTGTACATTTTAGTCTTGTGAGGTGGGGTAGGAAAGGAAAAATCAATTGGATCACTAAAAATTGATTGTTGTATCAGTAAAAGTCTGGTGGTCATTTTGTAATAAACTTCTCCTGCATCCACAAGAAAATTAAAGGTAGGTCATCTTAATGGGTAAAAAATGTTTGTGGCTAATTTTGACCTGCCAATATGAATTTAGGGCAAAGGAAAGGGGGATTGGGGTTGTATGCAGCCACCAACTACGAATCTAGCTATCTTTCCCATAGCACCTTCAAATTTTCAAGTTCTGACTATCAGTAGGGTTCCATTTTGTTTATTAATCCACAGTAATAAGTTGCATAAGTTTTCGTCATTTACAGACTTCTAAAGAAAATATAACTTTCACATTCTATTTTTTTCCATGTCAGATTTCTGTATGTACTCCTTGTTGCTGTTAAAAAGTCAGGTCTCATTAGAGACTTAATCAATAACATTAATACAAATATTACCACTTCCAGTTACTCTGATTCGAGAGGTTTCAAATTCTCATCATCTCCCTCATATTTGCATGGCTGTCCATAAATAATTAATTAAGTAATGAGAAAGAAGAAAGTCAATCTACAGCCTAGGGCAAATCTTTTTGGAAAATTATGGATTCAACATAAAATTAATATCCTACTAAACTTTGTTTTCTTGGACTTTATTGTAAGTTGTATTGGAGTTATGGCCTGCACTTTTCATAATTCCAAGGGGAAAAGTGTTGTGTAGTACGAGGTGTAAATTGGGATCTGAAATGTACTTATTAGTTTGCAGTACCCTTGCTTTCTCTTTCAGAGTTGGATAAAGCAAATTCCCAACTTAGACTCGAGTAAAGTGTCAGCCAACATTATACCTGGATGACAGAGGAAACTTTCACAGAGACTGATATTTTTTGACTAAGTTGTAGCTATAGAACCAGGCTTGATGTTCCACTTATGTAGTTGATTGACAATGATACATTTTTCTTTGTTTGGGATTTGAATAAGTCTTAGTGTGTGCATACCCTTAAACTTAACTTCCCACTGCAATGTGGTAGAACATAATAATTATACCTAACTAATATTACAGGAGGTGGTTTTTTATTAGTTTTTTGGTGCAAATTAGCTTGGTTGTACAATACTGTTCTTGTGGTCATTAAACATTAACACATGTTTGATTTTGTTTATTTGTCCTTGAGGTGTCCCTTAGGCCCCTAAATGTCAAAATATACACTGGTATTTAGACTGCAATGACAGAGGCAGAAAGACTGAGACTACCCCTGGTATATATTGCACCCATACCAAACTTGGTGGAAAATTTTCCAGATCTATACTAGATCCAGTGGCTGAAAAAAAACTTAGCCATTCTGTGTCATATTACCAGTACTTGAATTTTATTTCTAATAAAAGCAACAAATCACTAACATTTTGCCAAAACGCTCTTTGGAAAAAGATAGTTTGCTGTCTCTCCTTTGAGTAGCTGAAAATACATTTACACCTATGTTACACTTATGTGTCAAAGAAAAAGTATCATGCATACCAGCAGCTTTAAAATTTTGTTTATGCATAAGCAGTTAATTCTCTGACAGCTGTAAATTTTAAATTACTACATTAAACACATCCAACAGCAACATGATGGTTTTTGCCAACTGCTATCCTGTTAATTGTCAGATGTGGTTGAAAGTTTACAGTTTGTTGTCGATGGTGTTTTATGGTGCATCTCAAGCCTCACTATTATTCCTTCCATTAAATGTTTTTCCTTAATAAGTTGTTTTTGACAGTATTCTTCAGATGCAATTCAAGATTGCTTCCTTAACACCACATGTGTACCAATGAGAGCCATGATCAATAAACCTAATGTGGTCCTGAACAGGAAGTCAAGTTTCATGGTCATGTTTTCATAAAAGTTATCAGATTAGTATCAATCATGATTCAAGTTTGGGATATGTCAATCAGCTAAGTTTAAGTAGGTTGAGTTGATGATGAGTTTTGGTTAACCAAGTTTGAGGTAGCTAGAATAATTAGGTCAAATCCAAGGGAAATAGGATCTTGTTTAAGTCAGTGGGGGGGGGGGCACTTCTAGTTTGCAACCTTCTAGTAAACAGGGTTCTAGAGTACCTTTAACATATTCTATGCTTTTTAAAATGTCAGCAAACGACACTTCTTTAAAACCATGATAATTACAAATGCAAGGTCAGTTTGTTGTAACAGGACAGGATTCATGGCAGGAAAAGGAACAAGAGGCTAAGGGACCATAAAAGAGTAGGTTGAACTTTGTGATAACCAAAGACACCCAAGAGTTCAACCAAGATTGTGAGAGTTGGAGATGGCCTAGCTGGTAGAGAGTTCAGCAAGTGATATGCCAGTATATTTTGGGATTAAGAAGCCTGACCCTTTGTTCAGTAAAGTTGTCTCGTATTTTCTTTTTTAAGAAAAATGTATGAATGTGCATTAAAATACTATTGGGAAAGTGAAATTATTTCAATGCAATCAAGTTTTCATTGCTTCTATGAAGAGAGCAGTACCAGTTGCAAACATTTTCTCTGGCTTGATTAAATATGAGTCACCTTTACACTTTGGAGACTGAGAAAGGTGAACATGATGTAAAGATGTCATCACTCGATTAAGAATTGAAAAATATCTCAAGACAGATAAAGCTGGCATGCACGTGTGTACTTCCAGTATATACTACTGTCTACCCTCCTGTTTCGTTCTGTTTATAAGCCACACAGCAAACAAGATTGTTCGTCTATATGTTATAATTATACATATAAATATTCATTTTCTTTTGAATTCTTTTCTTTATTTTTTTATTTTCCTCTCTTGTGCCCGCCTTGAATAGCCCTATAGCCACTTGTGGGCCCAAGCACTGTAATTTTCCTTATTAAGCTTAAATAAAATTTGTTGTTGTAAAGAATATATAGCACGAAACACAGGCTTCAGATGTTTAAATCCACACAGCACTGCTCACATTCTTCCATGAAATTTTCCTTGTTCTTACGGGCCCAGAAAGATACTTCCAAAATGTCCATGCATATTGTACATTACCCCATTGAGTAAGGTGCACTGATTGCCTGATCATTAGTTTGAACGTGAAACCCAAATATAGGGGAAAATATGTTGAGATGGCCACAAAAGCCATAAGTTAATGGGACACTGGCTTAAATTCTAAAAGAAACAGTTAATACTTTGGTAAAAAAAGGCAACATCGTTGAATTGTGAAGCATTTTAAATTAGGGTCTTTTTCGACAGTAAACCGAAGTCAGTCTCATCTAATCTAATGTTAAAAAATATCAACAATTTGACATCTGATTGCAAATGAAATACATAATTCCCCAAATGGTAAAATCCACAGTAAAAAGAAATAAAGGCAACACACGAAAACTTCCCTAGTGTAATTTTATTTAAAAACTTCATACGTTACAGTAATGTTATTAGTGGGTAAAGGTATTTTCTCTCGTACACTTCCAAATTAATGGACTCGAACACATCCGTTAAACTTTGGTTCTCTCGGATCAGACTCACATCAGACCCAAACTTTTGATAACAAAACGACCTGCATACAAAAATCGCGAAAGCAACTACTAGTTCGTATTGACAAAATATCAGAAACGTGCATCGAAACTATTCTTTTAAAAGTCATTTACATTAAAAAAAATATATAAGAAAAGAATTGACACTCTTACTCTAAAAAGTTTACATTATGGCGTCCTTCACAGTTATTCCACCTCCTGTATTCGTGTATCAGCAAATTATGTGGTTAACTCCTGACTCCTAACGTCCACACACTTTTTCCACGATAAAGACGAATTGAATTATATGTTGTCTTACCAAACTTGACTGCGACGCTTGGACGACGTGTCTATGACCGTTAAAGAACAACACAACAACCTCGTTTACTCGAAGAACTTTTCTGTGTGGTTTTCATTCGTCTAACAATCTCGGTGAATACCTCGTCAACATTGGTGTTGTTCTTCGCAGAGGTTTCAAAGTGCGGACAGCCCCATTCTTCCGCTAGAAGCTTCGCTTCGTTTGCAGATACTTCTCGTTCGTCAAATATGTCACTTTTATTTCCAACAAGTATCAGTGGCACACTGTCTGCATTTTTCACACGCAGTATCTGATCCCTCATGGGCTTTAAATCAGTGAACGTTTGCCGGTTTAAAAGAGAATATATTAAAAGAAACCCTTGACCATTTTTTATGTACAAATCCCTCATGGAAGCGAACTGTTCAGTGCCGGCAGTGTCTAAAATTTCTAATATGGAGGGATTGTGGTCAACGTCGATCTCCTTTCGGTAGAAATCCTCTATAGTTGGGTCATACTTTTCAACAAATTGTCCTGTGACAAACTTCACTGTAAGTGCACTTTTTCCAACTCCACCTGAACCCAAAACGACGACTTTGTACTCTTTCAAGTTCATAGTGATTCACAGGAGAATATGATATATGGCACCGACAATTTGAAACCAAACAATTCCACTGGGTAGAGGCTGCTCAAAAGCGCCACATGTGTCCTTAACAGACTTGGGAAACTACGATTTTGGTGAAGTTCATCGGATACTTACTGAATTGTCTCACTGAATTTAAGTGCCGTGCAATGACGAACTTCTCACCCACACCAAGTATCGCTAGTCTGAATAATGTAAAACCTTATTATGGGCGTCGACGTTTCACAGATGGTTTCTGGGTAACGTAGCTCACCGTATTTTTCTGGTTTTTGGCACCAATGGAACCACAGGTGACCCAAGGTCTCTTTGAGAACCACACAAGGAACACAATTTGCATATCGATTTATAAGGATTTGTATGGGATTTTCTACAAGATATCCAT